ATAAAATATATAATGTAACAGTTAGTCGTGAAGATGCTGAAAAAGCACGTACAGGTATAAGTTTGTAATAATCAATAATTATTTTACTTTTATAATTATTTTATTTTTATTTTATTTTGTTTATTTAATTTAGGATTTAATAATTTAAATAAGAATTGAAAAGTACTTCGTTTAAGTCTGAAACAATAAATTCCATTTTCTTGATATTACTTTTTTTTTTTAATAATCAATGGCACATTTTATCATATTTCTTTTACATGCGTTTGATGTACATTAGGTAAAAATTGTATATTGTTTTCTGTACCGAAAGTGCATTTGAAATTCCTCGTCTGTATACAATGGTATAACACTTTCAACATAGTCCTTGCAACGAAAACGTGGAGTCAAATTTCTATTAAGAGTCCTTAAAAATATATCATCTTCTTCGCTATCTGAAGAACTTTCAGAAGATTCTATTACATATTTTACAACTTTTGTTAAAATCACAATCTCCATATCACTCTATGTTTGGTCCATAATTATCTATGAAACTTGTTTATCTTAACCTCCACAATACTGAATATTTCTACTGCGAGTCCGTTCCGTTATTGATTGCATTACAAGCTGAAAAGCAGCATCAGTAATTACGGAACGGATCCGCAGTTCTACTTTATGACGTCATACTTTCAGTACTGGCAGTTAATTTCGGAACGCAGCCATAGTCAAAGGTGCCCACCAGGGTTGGGTATGCATAATATCTCACGTTTTATGCGTGAAGTTTTATGTGCAGAAAACTCGAGTAATCTGCGCAGATAACTAAATGAGGTTTTCTGCTGCATAAAACTTCTTTTAGAGCTATTCCACAATTGCGTAAGAGTGGTCGTAAATGGTTGTATGTGATTACAACCAATCAGAATAAAGTAATCAGTGAATTAAATATTTTGATTGGTTGGCTTTATAACTGTTTTGTATATAAGACAAAGTATAAATATTTGTCCATGATCATGAAAAACATGAAATTGTGAATCTAGTTCATCGCTGTATCCCATTTTTTAATTTTTTTATATCTACATGTATATACAGATGTATTAATAAAACTGACTTCAAAAGCAGCGAGTAGGATTGTTGTCGATTCGACTTTTCATTTCGGGCTAGCTAAGTTATTTTAAAAGGCTTGGTTTGACCATCTGGGGATACGTACATGTTCCTAGGATTTTTTTCGAACTATTTATTTTTTGGCGAAGTCGTACCGTTTCGGTGATGCGCAGTTTCCCTTTTCAAATCGTGGAGTGGTATTAAGGCAAAGTGCAAGCTGCCTGGAACTATATATTGAAGGAAGAAAGGTTATTTTAGGTTAGAGTGGGCGCGTCTCAGGGGTTTTCTGCATTTTCTGCATATTCTGCGCGTCTTTTGCGCATAATAGACATTTTATGTATATTATACGCAGATTGTGCATAATACCTTCCTGCCGCGCATATTACCCATCTCTAGGCCGTGTGCCTAGACAACTTCATGTAAAGAGAATCGCCAACTTGGTCACGTGACCAGCTGATTGACTGGCATAAATATATACGGATTTAAACATTGCGACGCCAATGCAGAACAAATGTTTTATATACACACACACACACACACACATATATATATATATATATATATATATATATATATATGTATATTCAGTGGAGTACACGCACCGGCGTTAATGCCGTCCGAATATCCGTGTGACTCGCACACGATAACGCGTCACTCAACACTGCTGCGTGTAGGTGAGCCATGAGCAGCACGGAGGGGCGGAGGGAGCTAGCGGTATACGATCGTCGGACGCTTGGAGAGGGAATAGTGGTGGAAGTCGCGGCGATCTTCCATCCTCTATCGCAAACGTAAGAACGAGAGAAATAGCATTATAAGACGTCTGGACAGAAATGCCGTCCTAAAATACGTGTGACACACACTAAGAAAACGCTTGACTCACACTGTCTCGTCTATACGTGAGCAATACGCGGTGTCCCGACGACTGTTTCGCTCGCTCGAACGTTCATACATTTTTCATTGTTAGCAAGGAAATTACTGTAATGTAAAAATCTTGGGGAAAGGTTTTTAGGA